TATCGAGATTTTGTACTCATTCGAAAGTTAAAGTGGAACATATTACACATACATTTAGTAATTAATATTAATATATGTTAAGTTATCTTAAGAAAGAAACTTTGGCTGTATATTGTTTTTATTTTTTATTTAGACCTTTTAATTCTAATTTAGTTAGGATTCAACTTACAAGAATGGTCTGAAAATACCACCGAATGAAAATAGGGAAAAATTTGCATCCATAATATTTTATATTGCCAAATATAGAAATATTTTTGACCAGACTCTTTTGTGGTCCTTAGCCCTTGCATTTTGATTTATAAATATCTGGTAATAAGTTATTTCCATATGGTCGTTTTCTGTATTTTCCACAAATAATGAAAATTATAATTTAAAACAATAAATACAAATATCCAAAACAATTATTCAAGGGTTATAGAAAATCTGCAGATTATTAAACATTTGATAAAAATAATATGCATCCTAATCTATTTTTTTATCTGTTTTGAAATGCACATTTACGAAAAAGTGTTTGTCCTTTTAAATTTTTTTACTCTTACAAAGAAGTAGTACCCATACTTTTATTTATATTTTGTTCACTCTTTTTTCTCCATGATCTATCTCTTTCTCTCATTTAAATAACATAACTTTACATCCTTTAAAAAGACACACATTTTTATACCAAAAAAAAAAAAGACACACATTTTTTCCTTACATTATTAGTTTCTCATTCTTTAAATAAATATAGAGAAAAATATTTGTTCTTTTAACGGATATAACTTTTTATTATTTTAGATCATAACTGTTAATTTCCGTCAATCAACGGTTAGAATTTACTGGATCAAACTTATTAATTAATTAATAATTTACAATAAAATCTAGTAAATCCTAACTGTTGATTGACGAAAATCAACGGTTAAGATCTAAAATGACACAAAATTATATTCTTTAAACGACAAACGTTTTTTTTCATAAATATATTATTTTTTTAACAAATATTAGTCTTCCGATTATAATTATCTATGATTTATCTTCTCGACTTTTTTATTGAGAGAGAGAGAGAGAGCATGCCCATTACTATTGATGTCAACCCAACTTAACACCACCTGTCATCAGCAATTTACCAAGATGCCCCACCATTACCTATTGCCTTGCCTAGTGTAATTTTGTCTGCTTTGACTAAACTACCCTTATACACATGATTCACTGGTGTATTGTAAATTATATTTGTTCAACTAATGATACAGTATAGATCTCAAAATAAAAGCTAATACTTGACGATTATACGCATTAAATGTATATTGGTTGAGTGGGTCCCACGTTCTCGCATTGTATGCGTGCTTGCATTTCCCTCCGGTTTTGTTTTACACTCAATTATTGACTTACGCAGAAAAAAATGGAAGATAAAGTAAATAAGTTTAATTTCCCCATTATTCTTCTCCCTCAAAACCCTTTACTATTTTTTTTGTTTCTATTATTATGCATTTTATATTAAAAGCTATTTCCAATACCTTAAGCCATGGGATATCATTTGACCAAATTATTTTTTACAAACATTTATTGACATTAAAGGTTAAGAATGCATTTCTCCCAAAACAAAACACACAAAATGATTTTGTTAACATTTATAATGGTACTAATTTTAAGCAATACTGTCTTTCACAAGAAATAAAAATTTGTCTCATGTAATACATTGGTTAGTAAAAAGGATTCCGCAGACAAATAATACACATATCCATTATAGAAGAATACAAAAATGAAAGATATAATAAGTAGAAAAAATTAAAAATAGTCCTTCAAGATTCAACAACCTTATCACAATATCAAGTCATTTTCAAGTGCAAGTGCAACGATCAAATAGGTTTAGAATTTAAAATTCGAAAAAGAAACGCAACGTTCACATAACGTAGCATAGCGCTGGTGCCATAATTGTACATGGGTAGGACGTAGGAGCCATTGTCTTTGATATAAAATATATGTAAATGTGAAACCATCCAATAAATCACACCGTCGCCAATAGCTCCGTGCTCTCTAATTTTCTTTTTCATGGTTTATGAATTATTATATCATTCATATTTGTTTACTAATGTTTTTCATAATAATTCTGTTTAATTACTTCTAATACATAATTCAATAATCTCTTTTATTTATAGAAGAAATATAAAATGTATTAAAATTTGAAAAAATTTATTTCATGCTTCTAATTTTATCACTTAATACTTTTTATTTTTTAAAATTAGGAGGATGTTATAAGGAAATAACATCACTATAGTGTGTTTATCAAAAAAAAAATTACTATACTGAATACTTTTTTTTTTTTTTTAATCTTCCTAATGAATAAGCTTGGTAATCGGCAAATTATAAAGAAATTTTTTTTAAAAGATGTCTTGGTTTTTAAGTTTAAGCCTTTGTGTTAATATAGCGTATATCTTCATCAACCCTGAAAATCATTATATTGAAAATTAATTACGTCTATAATCAATTTTTAAGAAAATTAATTTGTATTTAGATATGTTGATTCATAAAAAAATTAAGATAAAATACCTTTTTTAAAATTGTATATATATAAAAATTATTTTTACACATTAAATTGATAAATGTGATATAAAATGATTAAAAAGTTAATTTTTGACCTAAAAAGGTATTTATCTTTCTCAAATTTTTTAAGATACTCATTACACTTATAATCAAAAAATTAAATATTAATAAAAAAAATTAAATTAAATATTTTTATTTTTTACTTAATACTTATTATTTTAATTATTTGAAGAGATATGCTAAATTTCTTAAAAAAGGTATAACATTATTCCAATAAAAAGTTCAATTAACAAGTGTTTTAGACATAAACAAGAAACCTTTTATATCTTTCGTTAGCAATATATTAAATCCTCTTTAGTTTTCAAAAAAATAAAATAAAATAAAAATATATTAACGACTCTTTAGAATCTCAAAATATTAAATACTTTTATTTTTCATTTCATACTTAATGTATAGATTGTTTAGCCAAAGCCTTAAGATCAATGTTATTAAAACTAATCCAGTCAATGACCCGATCGAGATATTGGGTCACTGGTTTAACCAGCGGGTCACTGGTTCAATCGCATGACCCAGTGATTATACATAAATCTGTAATTTATATAAAAAATTATAAATATATTCAAATAGTTGAAAAAAATAATATAAATTCTAAATATTTTAATACACAAAAATAATAAATTATACATTATTGTCCAATAAAGGATCAAACAAACACATAATGCTTATTATATTGGTGTTTCAGGTTCAGTAAACGACATCTCTAACTATCAAATCAAAATTCTCTGCATAATGCATAACTGAGATAATATTAGTATTGTAGGTACATAACTTATGTAAGTCAATAAGTAACACATCACTCAAATATGTCAATTATGATATATTTTTTTAATATTTTTTTTTTTAAACTCGGGTCGAGTCATCGATTTTTCACCAAAACCGGTCGGGTCGCACCGGGTCTGATACTTAACCGATCCAATGTGATAACTGGACCGGTCAGATGACTGGTTCTCTGAGTTCCAGGTCAACCCGACCGGTCCGGTCCGGTCCGGTGCGATTTTCACAACATTGATTAAGATACTACATAACAAATGTCATAGATAAAAGAAAAAAAAATCTAGTGTAGTGAACCAAAGTAATTACTTTGTTCAAATTTAACAAACCAATAATTATGCTTGGAATCACCCATTGTGCACAATATCACGGCCATCAAAACTTTGACGTCATTTATTGTGGTGGGTCACAAACCCAACAGAACTGGCCACCATTTACTTCTGTTCATAAATGGCATGGCCTAATAACATGACCTTCTTAAAACTAGTTCTATTCAACTGTGGTTCCCACTTAATTACAATAACTATTTTCTTCATTACAAGATTTTGAATTACACTATTCACCCCCTTTTTTTCTTAATCACGAAACCAAGTTTGAATGCGAAACCCTGGGCAGAAGCCCAAAAGATATTTTAAACCTCCCCTTTTTTTGTTGTTAATTTTCTTTTATCAGTTATGTGAAGGAAAATTTGTCCAAATTGAATTGTCACAGTCAGGGTAGGGACCCAAAGGCCACATGTAGAGTACCACAGTTCTAGGCAACAAGTTGAAAATTAAATCAGCGCTCCCAAGTGTTTTTTTTATTTTTTATTTTTTTCCAGCTAACAAACTTTATAAAAGGGGCATTTTGGGCAAGTTACAGCTATGCATTGTAAAAAAAATATATATATAGAAGCTGTGAAACGGAGGGACAAACCCAGATCACAAAGAAGCTGATGTAAATAAAATATGGGATAGATTAGCTTCAATGATTAAAGGTCAATGCAGGAACCATGTTAGGGCCTGTTCGGTCATTTCCCCATGATTGTGCCAACCGCTACTGAAATCCAAAAAACACACCCCCAAAGAAAAAGCAACCAAAGCTCATCTTCATCTTCATCTCAAGAAAAGGAAAATGATAATAATAATAATAATAATAATAATTTTTAAAAAAAAATAGGTAAAAACACTATTTAAAAAAAGAGAGTAAATAATAATTTAAAAAAAAGGTGACCTACAGGAGCCGGCCTTTAACTAAATATAGCTGGACAGACAAAAATCAACATAAAATCTGCATCGTCTCCGTGCGCAGGTGTTCAAAAATCTCTGCATCTATTTAATATTTTATTTGCATAAATAATTATATACAAATAAATAAATAAATACCTGCATATATTTTTCCGTGCCACTTTTGTTATTATATCGAAAGAGCAAAGTCCGGTGAATTTGCCGAAAACAATACAAAAAAACATTAAATATATAAAATAAAAAACTGAAGATTCCGCAGCTTAAAAAGAGAAGAAAAGGAAGCGCGTAAAAGTTAAATATTGAAAAGCAAAAAAAAAGAAAGAAAAAAAAGCACATATTTATTCTTATTACTATTAATTATTATAATAGATAAAAATAATAATAATAAATTCACCTCACACACACAAACACAAGAGAGAGATAGAGAGAGACACAGCGCTTTCATCCATATACACATACACACACATATACTTATACAAAATAAAAACCCATCAAATTCAAAGAATTCACCACCCTTTTTTTTTCATTTTTAATTTTTCTCCTAGTCTCTGTTGTTGTAATTGCTGCGGTGCTGTTCTGGAAGAAAGCTGAGAGAGAGAGAGTGACTATGCTGGGGGACTCAGCTGTGTTAGGAGGAGGAGGAGGTGGTGGTGGTGGTGAGGGAGGTGGCTCCGGAGAAGCAGTGGCGGCGGTGGCATCAGCAGCAGCTGGAACCCACGACGGAGCGGCGGCGGCGGCGGCAGGTGGTGGTGGAGTTGGATCAAATTCAGGGGATGATGAAAGAGGTAGAATCGATGAAGGTGAACGTAGCTTCGGTGGCAATCGGTGGCCACGACAAGAGACTTTGGCGCTGTTAAGGATACGGTCGGATATGGACGTGGCGTTTCGAGATGCAAGTGTTAAGGGTCCTTTGTGGGAAGAAGTCTCCAGGTGAGTAAATAATTAAATTATATTTTGCTTCTTCTAATTCATTTCACAGTATCTGAATTTTGAGGTTCTGGGATTTTTTTTATTTTTTTTTTAATTCATGGGATGTGGAGATCTGGGAGTTCATTTATGCTTCAATTTTATTCTTGGAAATGTATTCCATTCCATTAACTTCAATTCTATCTTTCCTCTCTCTCTCTCTCTCTCTATCATTCAGATTTTGCTTCCTTTTCCAGTTCCTTTTGTATTTTTCTTTCCCTTAAAATCCTCCTTTTTTTAATTTCTCTTTTGGAGTTTGAACATAAAATTATTATTTAAAAATTTTAGTTGTGCAGCATCTATGATTTGGGTGTGATTTGCTTTTCTGACATTCACTTTGATTCATGTCCTATTTTCCAAATAAGTTACCAACTTGAATTGAGTTATCAAAAGCAACACTTTCTTCCCCCTTTATTTCAGTTACCAACTCCTACGGGAAACCAAGTTAGATTATCAAATCTTCTAACTTGGGTTCATGTGTTTTTCATGGGTGACATTTCTGTTCATCAATTTAAGGGATTTTTTATTTATTTATTAAAACTTCAGTTACATCCAAAGTCTCATATTTTCTGCTATCTCTCTTTCAGTTACTTAATTTCATCTCCTTGCATTTCCATTCTGGTATACTTTTAATTCATCTCATATTTTTTTATTTTATGTTTATCTCATGCGCCCATTGTTTTTTTATCATTTGTCTTCTAGCTGAATTTGATGAGATAAGATAAACCCAGAAACCTTTTTATCTTTTTATCTTTCTTTCTTTCTTTCTTTTTTCATTTGTCTTCTTTTGGGCACTTTGGTTCTCAGGAAACTGGCAGAGCTTGGGTACCACAGAAGTGCCAAGAAATGCAAAGAGAAATTCGAGAACGTCTACAAGTACCACAAGAGAACCAAAGAAGGTCGAAGTGGAAAACCAGATGGCAAAACTTATCGTTTTTTTGATCAATTAGAAGCCCTTGAGAACCACCCTTCAATTCAATCACCCAACTCATCAAAACCACCACAACCGGCACTACTACCTGCACCACCACCACCACCACCAGTATCATCACTAGTAGTAACAACAACAACAACAACAACAACTGCATCATCAGTGTCATTACCAACTACTACTACAACATCAACAACAACAGTGCCAATGCCACTCCCTCATGCCACTGTTCCATCAACAAGCACACTTCCTATACCATTACCTCAACCCATTCTCACTCCCCCATCAATAAACCTCACAATCCCTTCATTCCCACCAACAAACCCTACAAATTTCCCACCATCAACAACAATCCCAATCTCTTTCGCCAACATCCCAACCGATCTTCTCTCCAATTCTAGCTCTTCCTCAACCTCTTCGGATCAAACATTGGAAGGGAGGCGCAAAAGGAAACGCAAGTGGAAGGACTTCTTCGAGAGACTAATGAAGGAAGTTATCGATAAGCAAGAGGAGTTGCAAAGGAGATTCTTGGAAGCCATAGAGAAACGAGAACATGAACGAATGGTTAGAGAAGAAGCATGGAGAGTACAAGAGATGCAAAGGATCAATAGAGAGAGAGAGATTCTCGCACAAGAAAGATCCATAGCTGCTGCCAAAGACGCTGCAGTTATGTCATTCTTGCAAAAGATAGCTGAACAGCAAAATCTCGGTCAAGCATTCAGCAACATCAACATTTTACAACAACAACAACAACAACAACAACAACAACCGGTGGTGCCGCCGCCGCCGCCGCCGCCGCCACCACAACAAGCAGCACCAGCTCCGCCGCCGGTGCAACAACCAGCACCAGTTGCTCAGGCTGGGCCACCACCATCATCGTCGCAGGCTTTGATGCTGCCATTGGTCCCACAACAACAAGTGACGAATATGGAAATCGTTAAAGCTAATAATAACGGTGAGAATTTCATGGGAGCGAGTTCTTCGAGGTGGCCAAAAGTGGAGGTTCAAGCATTGATAAAGCTGAGAACGAACCTTGATTTTAAGTACCAAGAAAATGGACCAAAAGGACCTCTTTGGGAAGAGATCTCATCCTCAATGAGGAAGCTCGGTTACAACCGAAGTTCTAAAAGGTGCAAAGAGAAATGGGAGAACATCAACAAGTACTTCAAGAAAGTGAAGGAAAGCAACAAGAAGAGACCAGAAGATTCCAAGACATGCCCGTATTTTCACCAGCTGGATGCTTTGTATAGAGAGAAGAACAAGTTCGACAACACGGTGGTGAAGCCGGAAAGCATGGTGGCGCCGCTGATGGTGCGGCCGGAGCAGCAATGGCCACCTCAGCAGATTGATTCAAGAGCAGGAGCAGATCGAGATGTGACCATGGAAGACGTGGAGAATGATCCCATGGAGCGGCATCATCAGGAGGAGGAAGATGATGAAGATGAAGAAGAGAAGGATATTGGAGAAGATGATGATGATGATGAAGAGGATGATGGTAACTATGAGATAGTGGCAAGCAAGCCTGCAACATCAGCAGCAGCAGGAACAGCAGCAACAACTTCAGTGGGTGCATCAGCTGAGTAGTGAGAGGTGCAAAAGTGCTCAAAAGAATATGCAGCACCGAACAAAGCGTGGGGGTGGGTCAGAGATAGTGCAGGGGTTGTCGGAACGGTGGAGGGTGGGGGGCAGAAACCGGTGGCAATTGGGGATGGTGATGGTGGTGGTGGTGGTGATGGGAAGTGTGTGTGTGTGGAAGAATTTGAATATGCACGTACGGCAGAATGTCACATGTGTATCGAGGTGGGAGATCGATGGGGTTTGGTACTTTGTTGTTGCATATAGTCAGTAAGATTATATGTTTTTCTATTTTATAAAATTTGTTTATTTTTTTTGGGTTAATAAATAAGTTGAATCAGAGAGGAATTTAAGATATATATATAGAGAGAGGGGTTCAGGTTCCAAAATAACGAATAAAGAAAAGAGAGAGAGAGAGACCTAAATTAAGTTTTTTAATATATTTTTTCATCTTGTTTTATGTTCACGTTGCTGTAATGGGAGGAGATTAGTTGGGGTATTTGTCTTCTTCTTTTTTATTTTTCAATTTTGACATTTTGTTACTCTTCAAACGCTGTCATTGAAAAAAAAAATCCCTTTTTTTCCTTGTTTTAAATTATATTTCGGTGAGTTAATTGTCTCGTTTCTCCTTTCGCACTAACTCATAGCCATTTTTTCAGAAATAATAAAGAACTATTTCAATCTAAAATTTTAAGATGTTTGATGAGAGTCTTTTTAACAGTTTATATTTTTCTTTAACACACATTCATATTTTAAGATGTTTGATGAGAGTCTTTACACCACATTTTAACCCAAAACCTTAAAGCTGTAGGTTTATATAGGTCTTTTGCACTTATATAGACATCACTTGGTCTATGTCTAGTCGATGTGGTACTTCTTTATAACTCATACTTGAATACTTCCAACATCTTCCCCTCAAGTATATATGAGACTCAACATCATACTCCCCCTTAAGGACAACTTCTGCGGAAGTCTTTTTTTTTTCTTTTAACTATTGGAGTCACACTAGCCTTCTGCGGAGGCCTTGAAACATCACTATCTCTAAATACCCGGCCCGGCCAAACCTTTGGCTCTGATACCACTGTTAAGAATGGTACGGGAGGAGCCCAAAACCCATTGCAAGGGATACATCCATGGATCAAGCGATAAACCACAATAAGTGAGCCGACACCACATTTTAACCCAAAACCTTAAGGTTGTAGGTTTATGGGTCTTTTGCACTTATATAGTCATCACTCGGTCTATGTCTAGTCAATGTGGTACTTCTTTATAACTCATACTTGAACACTTCCAACATCTTCCCCTCAAGTATGAGACTCAACATCATGCTCCCCCTTAAGGACAACTTCTGCGAAAGTCTTTTTTTTTTCTTTTAACTATTGGAGTCACACTAGCCTTCTGCGGAGACCTTGAAATATCACCATCTCTAAATACCCGGCCCAGCCAAACCTTTGGCTCTGATAGCACTGTTAAGAATGGTATGGGGAAGCCCAAAACTCATTGCAAGGGATACATCCATGGACCAAGCGATAAACCACAATAAGTGAGCTGACACCACATTTTAACCCAAAATCTTAAGGCTGTAGGTTTATGGGTCTTTTGCACTTATATAGTCATCACTCGGTCTATGTCTAGTCAATGTGGTACTTCTTTATAACTCATACTTGAACACTTCCAATAGATATTACACAAGCGTGCTTATTTTATTCCACTAAAAAATGATGGGTGGTGAGGATCAAACTCCTGACCTTATGATCACTGAAACTTTGATACCATGTAAAAAAAACTTTTTGAATCCAAAATTTTAATGTATTAGATGAGTATCTCTTTAATAATTTATATTATTCATGTTATAATGCATTAGAAAATGATGGAGTTTAACTGCAATGCTGAAAAAAGTGGGTGGCAAAAACAAGGTTTAATTTGAAAAAAGGGGGTTAAAAAAAACAAATTGAAGAAAATAATATAAAAAGGGCCTTAAATTGTTGGGACAGTGACCCAACCTTTTGCATTGCAACAGTGCCCTTCTCAAAGCAGAAAATGCCAGCATCACACATGGAGTCATAAACCCTCGAAGAAGGGTCCCCAGGGAGGAATCTTGTGAGTTGTGAGTAACCTAATTATGAAAAGAACCTAAAACACTAGCATGCAATTGTTGTCTATGTGGCACTGTGCACGCAAGGTGATGTGTTTCTCTTCGTGGGTGTCAGTACTAAGTAAGAGATGAAGGTTCATCATCATCATCATTTAATGGGTCAACTTTTTCTGCTGTTAATGTGCTTTTGTCAGGCTTTCATCAGCATCTAATACTAATCGTGCTTTGAAAACAAAATGTACATTTTAAAAAACTAAAGAAATTATTTTGCGATTTTAGACTAATTGTTTTTCCATAAAGACGTATATATTGATTGGTTTATAAGTAACGGAATGAGAGAGGTTATGTTGTGCTTTTGGTATATTATATATGCACATGAGAGAGATTGCTATGATGGAGGAATTTTCGTATGGAATAACACAGATCATTATTTTTCTTTGAACTTATAAGCATAATGATTTGGTGGGTATCCAATTCTCCTCTTTATACACTTTATTTTTATTTTTCTAATTATAATTTTTAATTGCTAAGTTTTACTGTTACCAATATAAATCATGGACTTTATATTTCTCATGTGATAGGAATCAAAAACTTTTTTTATGCACACTCAACCAAAGTGGGACCAATTATAAGAGAGAAAAAAAACAAATCAAAAAAGTAGAAGCACGTGGATCGATGGGTGAGTAGGAATTTATCCTCCTCTTATTCAACATGAGAACTTCATTACCCATAAATCATAGTACTCTTCATTTTCACGTGTTAATTTAGGGTTTTATTAATCTTATGTTAAAGGAGATAAGTTATCTCTTGTCATAGAGATAAACTTGTGGGCTCCATCACCTGAAAAAAAAAAAGATGACACAGTTATTGAAAAGTGTGTAGGAGAAAAATTATCACATGTAGCATAAGAGTAATTTTTCCCGTTAATTTATCACTTACAAATTCATTTGATTAACGGAATCATATAGCTCATAATTTTCCTTTGAACTTTTGACAAACATTGAATGATTGGGGGCATCCAATCCTCCTTTCTTATATTCTTTAGTTTTATCTTTCTTTTCAAGAATAGGTCATAGTTATTACTATTTTTTCTTAGCATCTCTTATTACCAATTTGTTATCATTGAATCAAAATCAAGTTAACGGTTACAAAATAATATCAAATGAGAATGGTTTATTTAATTTTGATCCAATAATAATAAAATTGGTAATAAGAAGTGATAAGAAAAAAAAAACAATGTCCCCCTTCATTTTATATTTTTTCTTGTATTTTTTAATTATTAAATTTGTACTAAGTCATGTATGCCCACTGGACTTGAAAGGTAGACTGTAACGCCCGACCGCTTCAAGAATCAATGACTATCTCCACATACTAACACGAGACTTTTCAGTATGTTTTTTTCTCACTCGCACACTTTCTGGGAAAACTTCTCAGGAGGTCACCCATCCCAGAATTGCTCCAAGTCAAGCACGTTTAACTGTGGAGTTCTTCTGATCCGGGCTACCGAAAAGCATATGCATCTTGTTAGCATAGGTAGTACCAATTAATTCTTATAAGCTATTCCAAACTGTGCAGCCTTATACCTGCACAGCCTTTGGAATCCCTCTGTTTCGGGTGTCGATTCGATTCATTCATGCATGTAACCCCCGCTGGAAGCCTGTCAGGAGCCGCTCCTTGTCCGTGCCTCTTTGCACCGGCGATCACTCCCCACCCTCGTCAGCGCTCGGGATGTTACATAGACGATGCATAAGCTCACCTACCTGTGCTAAGAAAATTTCACAAGAAAAAATGGGGGGCGATGAGGATCGAACTCGAGACACGAGGCTCTGATACCATGTAAAAAATTAATTCAACGCAAAATCTTAAGATATTGAGTGAAAACTTTTTTAATGATTTATATTATTTTTCGACAATGCGCAACCCTACATCTTAGTTCCTAGTGTTAATTATTTACTATTTTCTTTTTCTTTAATAGAATAACATTTTGTGTTTTCTTAAATTTGTAAACATGTGCTTGTTGCCTCCAAAACTCCCGATTTATACATTTTCTCGATAGTCTTTGTACTTTATTGCTATATGATTTTAATCATTCTTTATTATCAAGTTCATCAACGCAGAGGTGAATCACACCCTGTAAACCCATAAGTTAATTGCTTAGGAATTCTGACAAAGATGGGCCACGATGAATAGCACTACTAACAAAAATCCCACTTCATGACTTAAAAAAAAAAAAATCATCTGCTATGGTTAAGGTTATAATTAATTAGTTCAACAACTACTAAAATTACTAAAAGCATGAATGTATAATTACTTTTTACAAACAAAAAATCATAAAAAAAATCATAAAACTCGTATAATTTCTCTTAATACAAGTTAAAAGTAAACTATCTTAAAATAATAAATAGTAAACAAAATTGATGAAAAAAAATGGGATAAAATTTTCAAAGAGGAAGGTTAATTTACAGGTGCCGTTATACTAAAAAATGTGCATTTGGCAGATGCCAGTGTTGGTCATGACTCATGATGGTGCATCTACTTTGACTTGTGTATGCCCTACAATTTTGTCCATTTTGATGAAAATGCTGCCTATTTGCGCGTTAAAGATGTGCCCACAATATTGATTGGCCTGCATTTACCTCATACGGATAAGAATAATTATTCTGTTACACAGCAACAGTTTGAGACATAAACGCTCCAGTTGCAGTACCCTCAATATTCACTTACGTGCATGCAGAAAAGTCTACGGACCCTATTCCTTTGTCGGAGGCAAAACAATTGATGGTTACTGACCATATATAAGCTTATTAAATTGCCATCAATCAATGCCTAGCTTAAGAGAGCCAGAGACTTGCGAAACTCTACACAAGCAACTCATTCTTCTTCCTTTTGTTGCATTTCCATTCAAACTTTATGTGTGTTTTCCCAGTATGCGAAAAGTTATGATTGTTTGTTAATTAAGGGACAAATTTTTATTTTATTTTTTTTAAATTGTGACAACATAGATTGTCGGGTTTCATAGGTTTCATACTTGTAATGAATAGGCTTAAGAGATTTTGGGGAGCACTTGTGACACACTAACAAAATGGGTTGTCAAGCACCCATACATGCCTATACGCTCGGTAAGCATTATCGATCAACGGCATCTCATTAGTTCAACAATGTTCCCCTTAAAATATTCGTAAAACTCAAACTTGAAATATATTTTTAATTTAACTTATTAAATTGAGCATTTATTATGATGAAAAAAAATAAAAAATACTGGGTGATGGGTCCATAAACTGCAAACCACACAAATATTCTAAAAATTCAGAATTTATATTTTTTGTTTTTTTGACAAAAAAATAAAAAATTATGGGCATAAAATAGACTTACACGTGCCGCACAGGTTTTTTTCTTCCTTTAGCTAGATCGGTTGTTAATAACGAGAGGGGATCCTTTCATATTAAATAAAATATAACATGGTGATTTGGGAATAC